AGACGTTGCATTTTGCCATCATTAATTAAAAATATTTTAAAAAATCATCAATATGCAGCAAATATGTTGTGCAATGTTCCATTTATCATGGTTCAAATGCATCTCTAAACTGGTGGGTTTTTAGTCTTGATTTAAAAAGAACGCTACAGTCAGTTTTCTGAATGTTTGTTCCATATTTGATGTGCATAGAAGCCAAATGCTGCTCCTACATGTTTTGTTCTGTTTCTGGGGATGCAGAGCAGAACCAGAACCAGAAGACTTGAGAGGTCTGGAAGTTGACACAGGAACAGCAGATCTTTAATGTATTTTGGCGCTAAGCCGCTCAGTGATTCATAGACTAACAGAACTATTTTAAAGTCTATTCTCTGAGCTACAAGGAGCCAGTGTAGGGATTTTTGAAGTGGTGTGAGGATAATAACGACAACATTTTATTCTGTGTTGTCTTTTAGCCATATGAAAGCTGATACAAGTAATTATTTTATAAACAAACAACAGCACACGACTTTACCTTACTGTGGTTCTCCTTCAGAGCACTGCATAAATGGGAAACTCTCTACAATATACTACTGGGGTTAGTGACTGATAAAGGTACTGCCTCAAAGAAAAAAAGAGAGCAGGCAACAGAGGTGAAGTAACGCTGCTGCTGTTGGCTCTGGGCTAATTTAACCCATGGTTAAACATTATTTGAGGTATTATGTACTTGAAACATCCTGCATTCAGAGCACTTTGCAATGTTCCTTGGGGTGATAGAGAACAAAGAACAAAACAAAGGGATTCTGGGAGAGCAGACACGTTTACCGTAGCTAGTTATGCGCTTTGCTGAAATCTGAGGCAGAAGCAGGTTTTGCTGTCAGCTTCGAGCGCTGCTCCATTTGAAGCAAGAAAATCAATGTCTGTCTGTTTTTGGAGGTTTCAAGGCGTGGAGGCTCATCAGTGTTATTACTGATTAGCGGGGATCCACAGAGCTACCCTGGGAGCACGAGTGATGAGTCCAGCAGTGCGCTGCGGCCAGCCGCATGCTGGTGTTTTGCTAATCAGTCCTTCAGTGGCTCTGCAATGACATCAGAGGCTCTGCGTCGTTTCAGTGACATCCTGCTGCTAATAGCACACAGAAAATTATACTGACTGCTGCAGCTTTGAAGCTTACCTGCAAGGAGTCAGAGTGAATATGCTTTGCATTATCAAGTGATTATCCTTTTTGTGGTTGTTCGTTGCACACCTTGGAAGAGGTTTTCATTAGTTAATATGCTCAGAAGCAGGTGGTCTGGCACATCTAATGATGACATTTGATCTTTTCTGCTTTACTGTCGTACAGGATATTATCAATGACCAACTTTCAGCTGTGAAGTGGGATGTAGAACAGAAGAAAGGGCTCTGTGCCAACTACTTTAAAAAGTCTCTGTTATTTGCAATGAGACTTTCTTGAGTAAGATGAGATTCATAACATTTTTAAATTTATTTCTACATGAGACTTTTTTTTCATGATGATGGCAAATTCTCAAAACTCAGTACTGGAAGTTCATTTGTGTTCTTTAGTTGGTTGCAATTGTTACAAAGACATACATTTTGCAGTTTTCGAAACTTCAATATGATACCTTTTTTAAATGGCACAGCAGTTGTGATTGGTGTTTCAAACGGTTGCAACAGAAAAGCGTCACATTTTGAATTTGAAATTATAATCTACTTTTTCCAACAAGCAGTGTTGGATAAAAGGTGCTAACCTCTGAGAACTCACCCTTAGTCCCATAGCAGGAAAACATAGCATAGTGCACAGTTTGCCACTGAAAACACCACCAGGCTCCAGTCACTGCAGCTGTCAGGTTGTCATTTCTGAATGAAGATGACGATAATGAGAAATTACCATACGCAAGGAGGACTGCACTATTTATCTCAGCGATGTTTACTTCAACTTACACCTGTGAGTCCCAATTTTGCATAAGTGCCATTATGCTGTAACTGGTATTTGCATCTCACTCACTTGGCCCTATCTTCATCACTGTCTGTGTGCAGTGCACTAACTGCTTAATGAGAAAAACTTTTGCTACTTCTAAATAAAAAAGAAAACACAATAGTTTGTACTTTTACAATGTTTTTTTATCAGGTGGTAAGTAAGCAAAATGTTTTTTTTTAGAAATGGGCCAGTTTTGGATTCATTTAAGTGTATTGTATTTGTACATGGCAGTGTGATGGAACCTGTAGCTCTGCAGAGGCGTATTTATTTCTTTACTTTTATATTAATGTATTTAATATTTAGCTTTTGTTACTCAATGAGTAACTATGTTCATAAAATTGCCTCAACTAACCAAGTATTCACGTTTAAGCCAAACTAATCCCTTTTTGCTACAAAGAGACTTTAAGTTATGAAAAAATATGCTGAATAATGTTTTTGATCATTTTTTTTCCCTTTGAAGTGGTATTATAGCTGTTGCATCCTATTTTATCTCATGTAACAGACAGCGACTGACACAAAACCCGCCAGTTTGATGTGATAATTTGTTGAATCCTCCTTGTGTCTCTCTTAGTTATCAGCCAAGTAAAGAATATGCAACACTCCCTTGATCTATTCCCCTCTGTGCACCCATGTGACTGGCATGGCAATTTTAAGGTTAAACTGTGATATATAGATAGAAGTTGTGGGAGACTTTTTGCAGAAATTAATTCAGCCCATGTTGCATAAGCCTTTTTCTGACCTCTGACCACGATTACACATAAATTACTTTTGTTTGTAGCCCTCAGTTTAATCCTTAGTGGTCAACAGCCTTAAGGTTCTTAAATATCCCTGCTTCATGTATTTAAGTGTTTGTTATTTATTTAGATGCAAGGCAATTATAATGATTCTGGAGAATTACAGTATGAGATTTTATTGAATGTGATTCAAATAGATGAATTCAGTAAACTCTAAGATAGAATAATGAGCTCCAGGGTCTGAATTGCATTCAGGATCTAAATTGCATTCATTATGCAAAATAATTGTGGTTTTAACAGGACTCTTAATTATTTTACTTCATAAAAAAGGCAAGTAAAACTAATTCACAGCTGAATATAAGAAACTATTCTCCCAGTGCATGTGTGGGTTCTTTTTGGGTACTCCTTCTTCCCCACACAGTCCAAAATTTTGACTGTTAGGTTAATGTGTCTCTCTAAAGCTAGAAAAAAAAAGAGGAAAATTAAATTATTGGCAGTAATATTTCAGATTTTGAGGTGGTGGCACTTCTCTGTCTCTACGTAGAGTAAATCAAGCTAATAATAATCATCCAGTTTCCGTATTTCTCTGTATATTTCTTAAAAATAATAAAAAAAAAGTACTGGATCAACTCCTTTGTTCATTTGTACCCATTTTATACACATACTGCACATCGGAGTGGTTTTTTTTGTTAGTTAAGTATCATGGAGATTTTCTGTATAGTAAGAATTACTTTTCTGAACATCCATTTTATTGAATGCAATTCTTATCACCGTTTGGGCCATTTATTGACCACTCAGGAAACCAAAATAACTAGGGACCTCATGTTGGTAGATACTATTTGTTTAAGTCAGATAACCACATTTGCCTATAGTAGTTTTCTGCCATCTACTTAGACAATAAAAAATGACTTTAAAACACTGACCGTGAAAGCAAATGCAAAATCTCCCCAAGGTGGGTGTGAATAGACGGATGGTTGCTATGAAACATCTTGTCAGTACATTAGTATGAAAGAAAAAGAAACTGGGTGGGGGGAAAATGAAGCGTTGGAGGAAAATAAATGGCCTGCAACCTTAAGAATGTTTTGCTCTTTTCTTTTGTAATTGTGTTAATGACAGTTTATTTTTGCTTTATTTAGTTTTTTTCAGAGTTCTGATTCCTTAAACATCAAAAAGAAGTTTAGAAAATCTACTGTGAAAATGCTTTCAGCTGATGTCGGTGATATTCAGTGGTTGCATGTATTTCTTTTTTGTGGGTGGTACTGATGTGCAGAACTCCTCAACATGTCCCTTTGGGGCTTGGCAATCCACACAGTAGGATTTTGGAGCTTTTTCATTGAAACCAGAAGCCTGCAGATAGTGACAAAAACAAGGGTAGCAGCACTGAACGAAATGAGTAAAGTTACTATTCCTTAAAAAGGGAACGTTAAAGTACAGTGTTAATCTGAGGAAATAAAGCTCTAAAATTGTATCACCGCCTACAAGACATTTCACATTAAGTAAATTATCTTGAAAGCAGCCTTAAATAAGTTAAATTAAAATTTAGACAACTTTATTGCAATTTGATCGAGTCACTTCTTAGCATAAATATCCCTCTAATAGTAAACCAATTTCACATCTTTTGGACATATTAGAAATGGGTAATTCAATTTTTTTTCCCTCTTAGAAATCAGGTGCAGCATTCTGATTTGCTCAGTGAAGCACAATAGTCAAACTCATTTCACATAAATGACGTTCTCTAAATCCCCTCTGAGCTCTAACGACAATACATGGAATCTCATTCGGTTTATCACTCCTCCCGTCTATTGATATTGGTGTTCCATATTCAGGGTGTCATTACTTATCACCATGCAATTATTCATATCTCCCTTTGTGAACTCATCAAGGGGCAGAGTTTTTCTTGCAGTGAGCCTTCCTTACGTTGTTGTTTTTATCTGGAGCGCACGTATGAAAGGGGCCTGAAGGAGAAAGACAATGCTGTCTGTTTTAACTCATCTCACTGCCCAACACTGAGGTATCAGGCACCGGCAGAGGAGAGAGAATATTTTATCCGACACTGTCACTCGCTGTAGAAACCTCAGGGAGGCTGAGACTGCTGTGACACACTTGGTGGTCAGCAGCACTGCATATGATTATGACAGCTCCAGCAAGACAGACTGACAACGCAAGTCTGGTATTACAGTCGAGCTAAATCTTCAAATTACCTTCACTGTCAGTTGTTTTGCAATGTCTGAAAGATGTACGTTTTCAAGAAAGCCGTTCGTTTTGCAAAAAAAAACCAAAAAAAAAAAACCATCACATTCTTTGTTTTCCCCCAGGTTGCTTCTGAGCCTGTGAATTTGAAGCATGTGCAACAAAGAACCATACGACACACAGTTCAGTCCATTTACGTCATTCATTAACCTGATGAAGTTGCTGCTAATGTTTCAAGACTGATTAGGCGTTAATTGCTACGGAGGGGAAAGATGTGGGCGTCGCTGTTCCACTTGATTGCCGTCTTTGTGGCCGTCCACATTACCAAGTGCCAACCAGTTTGCAACAAACAAGCGCCGCTTGAGTGGTACCTTAAGAAGCACACAATCCAGCTGAATTGGACTTTAATCGGAAACATCTGTGAGAATGACTTGGAGTGCTGGGGCTCTCAGGGGAAGCGCCAAGTGAGCGAGCAGCCTTTTAGCTTCCCACAGATATGCCCACTTCAGCTGCAACATGGAGACAAACTGCTCATGTCTGCTGATGAAACTCTCAAGACGTATGGCATCAGGGTCTTCAACGTGTCAAGAGAGGACTTTGAAAGCTGCACTACAAATGCAGAGTTGAAGAACCAGTTTGTGTTCCCTCACAATACAAATGAAAGTGAGCATGTTGAGGCCAAGTGGATTACCCCAGGTCATCATTACTTTATTGCACTTCGCGAAGGGGATTCGCAGTTATGCAAGCTTGGTTTAAGGCTTAATGTTTCTGTTAAAACACAGCTCTGCCGGGCCTCTCCTCTTCTGAGACTTTGTTCGGGGAATGGAGTGTGCCGGACAGATTTCTATGAAGGCGCGTACCACTGCCGATGCAACCACCGCTACTTTGGGAGGTTCTGTGAAAGGTTCGACGCCTGTTTGGATAACCCCTGTCAGAACAAAGGAATCTGCTTGAGCAACGGGTCCACAGATCCAAACAACAGAACCTACAAATGCTTATGCCCACCACACTTTACAGGTAAGGATAAACATTTAAGTCTTCCTGTTGACCTCTTAAATTATTTTCAGTTTGCGTTGAACAGTGGCGTCCACAAAAAATACCTAATGCAAAGTTTATTTTTTAATTGCCCTATGCATTACCTCAACAAAGTAAAACATATTTCTTCTACATTACTTTCTCGTCAAGAGTACAGCATGTTTGCATTAATTACTAGGTCAAAAAAAGATCATTTTATTGATGAATTTTATATAATGATTTATTTACACTAAATCGCAACATTTATACAGTGCTTTGCTAAAGTATTCATATCCCTTGATCTTTTTCACTTTGTACAACATTAAAACCATGACCTTCTATATAATTCATTACAATTTTATATTATAGACAAAGTAGTGCATAATTATGAATTGAAATGAATCTGATCCCTTGTTTTAGAAGCATTTTTTTTGAAAGAAAGAAAGAAAACTCCCAAAACTATCTGAGAGCTGTTAAATATTGACCTTTCCCTTTAAGATTATATACTACTTTGTGTTATTTTATCATATAAATTCCCTGATAATCTTCATCAAAGTTTGTGGTTAAAAAAATTACTCAAGAGGTATGAATACTTTTGCAAGTTATTTATTACTTATTTATTTTTAACATGATAGAAGTATAAAATCACACACACGAGGAAGGAATGTGAAAGACATATTTTTGTACTACAATAATCTTAACACACGTAATATAACATTATACCTATTGTAAGATTATATGTAATGTTAATAAAATTATCACCTAAACTTTTATAAATAACTTTCAAAACATCTATAATAACAAGCGAACAAACAAACCTTAATTGCTCAATGTTTCCCTTTAAATGAAAGTTTGTGTGTTGTTTTCTTTTACAGGTGTAAACTGCTCTGAAATCATTGGGGAAGGAAACTGTCAGACAATTTGTGAAGATGGGACATGCGTCCAACTGTCACCGGTTTCCTTCAGATGCATTTGTGTGTCTGGATTTTCAGGTAAGAGGCTTTATTTTCTACTTAAATTTGATATTCTGCAGATGCACTGACACTCCAAGGAAATATTTTTCAACATGATACAGAAACTTAATTAATGACCTCTTAAAGTCACTTTTTCACAATATTTCACATCACAGACGTGATGTGAAGTATTTCATTTGATCAAAAATGAAAAAAGAAAAATGTAGTGGCTAATAACTACCAAGGTCCAAAAATTATAAAAACACTATTGTTTCTTCATGAGCTGTGAGCTTGTTATCACAAAACATGAAGCAGCCTTGTCAAATCAAAGGAACTCATGTTGCAACCAGTGATATTCTGCTGTTGAGTCCTCAGACTGAGCACGTCTCAGTTAATACAACAAAAGTTTACGGCTTTCAGTTTAAATGCAATTTACAATGTATTGCTTCTGCTGAACTTGAGATATCAGTTTAATCATTGCCGAGTGAAAAGCCAAAAGAGGTATTGAACCAAACATTAATGCTTTGTTTTTGCCTCATTAACACAACAATTGACAATTAAAATTTACTAAGAATTACTTCTCTTTCTGGAGATTTTCTTAAAGGGCAGTGCAAAAAACTGGTGACAAATTTAGTTTATTTAGCTTTACCGTGGTAATGTAAGTGCTAATTTATGCTAATTCTCCTTCCCTATAAAACATTTATAAAGGCCAAACTGCTATCATGTTGTCATTTTAAGGAACTACTGGATGCTCATGTATGAACATTTGATGGCAGTAATGTTCTTCTGGCCTCATAAATTTAAGATTATTACTCCTTTAATCATAATGTAGTTTAATATACCATAGCAAAGCACAGTTGGGTTAATGGGTATCACAAATACTTACGCTACAAGACATGGGTACTCTTCAGACTGCCCTGAATATCAAAAACATGAGATAAAAGCAAATGCGATGGACCTTCTGGAGTAAGCCCCTCCAGGTGGCTCCTTACATTGATTCATTGTTTTGTTTGCTGCACACTTTGCCTTGGCAGCACTTTTGAGGTGTCATAGTTGTGCCTTTTGAGTCCAACCCATGCTTTCAGCTTATTATTTCAGAAATGTGGTTTCAAGGTTGCTTGGAGTACTTGCTGGCATTCTTTTATACAAGAGTTGATTATGGCTGTACTGCAGAGTAAGAGTGTTGTCTTTCTTTTCATGTTTTTTTTTCTTTTTCTTTTTTTAAGCAATTGTTATGAGCCAATTGCTTCTCTGTCTATCAGAGTTGGATTTAGGTGGTGGAGGGTTAGGAGGTGGAGCGTAGGTGAAGGATGATCATTTGTCTCTGTAACTGAATGGCTTCGTCTAAATTATCAAGAAGAAGTTAAAAGAGAACTAATCTTGAATGTGGTTTCCCAGTGCGAGTGCCCCATAGAAAATGTAGGTTACATGAATAATGTGTTTGATGCTGAATTTTAGAACAACTCTGATTTATGAGAGAAGATCATTAGTTAATTTCATGTCTCTGGAAAGGAATGTCATCATTTTGCTTTGATCTTCTACATTCTGCATGCTGGATGCTTGCCAAACTGAATCCTTGATAGTTTTTTAAAAGATAAAGGAGTAATTTTATGTCACAAAATGTTTTAGTTGATTACTTATCATACTATAAGAATGAGTAAGCAAATATGAAATTCGTCTTACAAACTCTGTTTATCTACAGCCGGGAATCTTTAATTTTTTATTATTTTTTTTGGAAAGTTAGAAGGCAAGATAAAAATAGCAAGATACGTTTATTTGCTGAGCACATTTTATATACAGGTATTTTGAATTCTTTAAAGGGAAATATAGAATTGAAAGTAATAAAAAAAGAAGCTTGATACAAAAAAATCTAAGCACCTATCCATTGTCCAGGTCCAGAACATCCACCAGTAAAATTTTGTGGAAGCTCTAGCTGCCTTAAAAATTCTTCTAAGAAGCCAATCAGACATTTTTACATAAATCTAAGCTTGTGACAATAAAGATGTGAACCATTCTTACTGTGTTATCTTTTTTATCCTTTACTAAAGCATAGAGTTGATTTCTAATTCTTAAAATATTTGCTGCTGTGAAGTTTTATATGTTGTTTATATGTTGACATGTTCCAGTCAATTATATTATAGGGTATATGTCAATAAAAACAATATTAATCAAGGCTTTTATTTATTTATTTTTTTACTGGTCTCATAGATGCTATAAGAAATTAATTTGCTTCCTCAATATGTTTTCCTATTGATTAGCCAAATCATGTAGGATTTATTTTGTTAAGGTTGTTTGTCTCTGTTAAATGTTGCTGAGTGTGGAACATTTTACAGTGCTACAATCTCCCGCCACCTTTGCAATTGGAGACATGCATGGTAATAATTCCTTTATCTTGTCACAAAGATATATAATAATTAAAGACACTAAAAAGAGTCCATTTGAGAAAGTTGGGACATCTGAAACTCAAGGGAATCAATATGCAGCAGGACAGACAAGTTTTCAAAAATTGTAGTGGCTGTAAATTACTTTCTGTAATTCTGGTGGTAAAGTTAATCAAATAATTTATTTAATTCTCAAAATTAAATGTATTTCTGTGAGCTTCTTCTCACTTGACGGCTGTTATCAAATGTGCTTTAGTTGATGGTGCTGTCTTTAGTAAACCGCATCCACTGGATGTGTTTGCATCGTCATCGTGTCCCGCCGTCCCGTCAGCTTCTTGGGAGTTCTGCGAAGCTTGGCTTCCTCCGCCTCTCTGTTGCTCTTGGCTCATTAATCAACTGAAATTTAGTGGCTGCTCCATTGCTGGCTGCCCTCACAGGCCAAAGTCTATGTGCACAGAATAATGAGTGGAACTCATGGGATGTTTCAAATAAGATTTTCTTTTGATTTGTCTCTTTCCTTAGCACTACCTCCAGAGTATTTGTTCCAAGGTATTACCACATTTATAGGGCCATAATCATTAAGCGGTAATTATCTTGTTGCGAGTAATATTAAATTGAGACCCTTTCAATTTGCACAATGTATATAATTATTACCCTTATTAAACTTTTCAATTACAGAGTATGTGAAGGAGACAGTTTACAAAACCTCAATAATATTTGTAAAGAAATAGTAGGACGTATGGATAGCATGAATACTCTGGGGGAAAAAAAATCAGACAACTCATTAGATAATAATTATGTTATTATGTTTCTCATGTAAAAGTGACGAGTGGAAATATTTGATGTTATTTGAACCAGTTCTGGAAACTTGTAAAAAGGAGGTGATGCAAAAGCAAAGCCTGAAGTTGTGTACATTAAGATTGATGCCCACAGAGGAGGCTGCGAGGAGCCTCTGGGACATGAGCACTTGTATCAGCAGGGGGATTAAAGAAAATCTGCAAAGAAAGAGTCACTGGAAAGATAAATGTGCAGGCACCATGTGAAGAGCACAAAAAAATGAAAACCCTCACGTGGGAATACATTTTATTCACCTTGAACCTGCAGTGAAGTTAGTCTAATTTTATCTTTTGCACATAACATTACCGTCAATTTCCTTGCATCTGGCTAAGTTGCTGTGTTTGAAAAGGGTATGACTTTGGAGTTATTAAGTAAAATACTGGGCACAGCATAGGATGAGCTGCAGCATTGACTAGCTGGAATACATTTAAAAGCCTTAAGAGCACTAAATGTAATAATAATAATGATTAACAGAATTACAATTTTAATAATGATGACAGTTAATCCAAAAGTAATAAAACAAATGTTCTACCATTTGATCAAATATTTAATTTAGTTATATTTTCCCTTCCGTGTTGCTTTTGCCATCTTGCTCTACTTGAGCCCTTTGCACATTAGTCTCTACTTGGATTCCTGGTCTGAAACTGGAGTCTCGATGACAGTTTTTACCTCATGTAAGGAAGAGTGAGCAGAAGCTGGTATATGAGCTACAGGCGGTAGCTGATGGTACATATCAACAACTGAATCTCCTTTAAATAATTTTGGATTATTTTAGAATAAAATAAACACAACTTAAACCAACAATCTCTCACCATTAAGCTAACTCATTGCAAGGTTACTTTCGGTAATATCAAAATCAGAATTTCGATAGTCATTCATTTACTTCCTGCACTTGCGTGTTCATTGTGTTGTAAACTTTGTCATACATTTAAAAAAAATTGACAACAGGTACATCTAAAAATATTTGAATATTATAAAAAAAAGTTTAATATCTTTTAATTTTTTTAATTTCAGAAAGTCTTAAAGACTTAAGACTTGACTTAGGATGCAGGACTTGAGACTTAACTTGGCCTAGTGCCTCAAAGACTTGTGAGAAAGAACATGGGGAAAATATTCAATTTCAAACAGAACACCCCCAACCAGAATCAAACCCAGGACATTTAGATGTACAGCAACAACCCAGAATGACAGATTGAAACAAAATGAAATACAAACATTATTCTGAACCATTACTGGGACTGTTGAGATGTTATGAATACAAAACTTAAAATCCTGATTGACACAAGTTTTTGGCTTCACAGCTAACATGACCCAATGAAGAAGCCTTCATAAAGAGAAGTGCTTAAGACATACAAGAAGTTGTTGAATCACTGTTGAGAACTCTCTAGTAGAACAAGTTTCAGAATGAAACCATTTGGTAGTGGTGACAGATTTTGTGTAGATTATGTAATTTTAATTTATTTATAAGTACACTAAGGGAAAACATTCAACAGCAAAATAATATAAGCTGATGACCGTGCTAAACATATTAAAGCTACATAAAGTCCCACTGGGGAAAAAGAAACTAAAAGCATCTAACAGCTAAATTTATTACATAAATTTGCACTTAAATTTTTAAAGACAGAATTTAAGCCCAAATTATTTTTATTCTGAGCTCTAAAGCAGTTCCTCTAATTAGCCAAGTTTTAAACCAAATTTAGGATGTTAATTTCTCCAAAAATGTATTGTGTCACTTTACATTTTTAACTACTTCAGATGTATTCTGAACAGTATTAGATTTTTCTTTGTTAAACCCCTAATTAAGAGGCTTTCCAAAATACTCAGTCTAACATGTTGTCATTGTTAACATGAAAATTAGATACTGTTATAAAACTTTGAATTAGTAATGCAGCTACTCCTCGAGGTTACCGAGTTAAAATATAAAGCATACTGCTACATAAAATTTGATAATTTATCCTACTACAACAACTATGATGTCGTCTTCACAGAAATTAAACAATGTGTCACTTCATTTTGAGGTGGAGCACGCAACTCAAAACAAAGAATTTGTGGCAGCCTAGACAAAATTAAACTCTGAATCTTATTATAATGCTGTGGCAGGACCTTCAACATGCCATGTACATGTTCAGTCCTTTGGACTAAATCAATTCTGTAAAGAACAATGAGTCAGATTCCGCTATATCGATGTCAAAAACCCGTTGCAAGTTATTGCAAATGTTAGATAGTAGTTCTTGGTGGTAGTTGATGGTAATTCTTTTGTAAGGTTTTTTCGCATTGTTGCTTCTTTACATTTATAGCCTAAATGAACTTGCAGTAATCTTTTGTCGCTGACTTTGCAGGCCCTCCCTGTGAGAAGAGGAAAGCCCAGTGTGAGCCGAATCCATGCAGAAATGACAGTGTATGTCAGACACCCATAAAGAATTGGTTTGTCATTTTCCAGAATATGGAGTTGGTTTCAACTGCTTGCCGTATTCATGTCTAAAGGAGCCAAACTGCAAAGCAATTGAGCATATGGAGACAGTATTTCCTCTATTTGCTTTATCTCAGTGGGGTGTAAACAAAAATGACATATGAAAATTAATAGTGTCCCAAAACAAGATCAAATGGTTTCCTTCTGAAGTCTCCCACAGCAATTAATATTTCTAGCAGAAGATGAGCAGAGGGGAGGAGTGTCTGCTTTCTCTTGCATTTTGATTAAATGACCCTGCACATATTTAAGTGCCAGTCTGAAATGGCTCTCATCAAAGGCGTTTTGTAATTGGATGCCTTACGCAATTTTCACCTTTCACTGGAAATGTTATTGTGGCGATGCATTTTATAAGGGCGGTAATGTTTCAAATGCTCTTGAAGATTCTCTGGGGGAAACACAGTTGCAGTCTAATTGTCTCTGTGTGTAACCTTTGTTTTCTTTATTACACTGTGTGAAGTGCACTACTAGCTTTTACAACCTTCTTTAAAACAACTGAGTAGGACAGAATATGACATTTACAAGACTGGTTGTTCTGTTATTCCTGATGTTTAACATCGATATTTTGTTTTTTATAAAATATCAGTTTATCACTTTGGAAAATTATTTTTTAAGGCTTATGGCTTAAATATATATTTTTTAAATTTAGACCTTCAAAAAAGTACTCAGCATCATTTCATGATTCATAAGCAATTTATTTACTACTTTTAGTGTAATGTTGTTGGAGTTTTAAAATAAATGTTTGGATAAGGCAAAACATTTTTTTTTACTGTGGTTAATAGAAGTATTTCCATAACAGATTTATCTGTGTTCTTCAAACCAGGCCATTTTGATAAATATTATCTGCCCTCCCTCCTTTGTACAGAAACTCTCTGAACCAGAAAAATAAGACCCTGAATTAGTTGTAATGCTATTTTTACAGATGTCATTCATAAATCTGCGAACAATTCGACTTTGCAGTTTTTCACAGTGTGGTAATTCCCATCAATAATGTAATATCTGTCAGCAATGAGCGATTTAACTAAGTGCTTTGTAGTTATTCGCTTATTTATGACAAACAAGCTTCTGCAATTTAAATGTGAATGCAGATGTATTTAAGACATTACTCCCCTGGGGCTATGGCTTAAAATTAAAGTGAATTCAAATACATATCTTTTAATCTTCTGCATTTTGTTTCCAATCTTCATTTTGCACATTAATATTTTTAAAGGATAGACACCATTTATCACTCCACTTTTTTTTTTTTTATTAATAAAACTCTAGCATGTAGGGATATATATGTACCTATCTACTTTTAATACTGAGCTTACAGGTGACCTTGTTTTGTTGTATGCTATATGCAGGGCTCCGAATGTGCTTGTGCAGATGGTACTTTGGTCCCAGAATGCAGGAGGCAGCAGAGCATGTGCAGCCCATCGCCATGCCTGAACAATGGTACCTTTGTGTCTAGGGGAAAGGATTACTTCTGCAGGTAAAACACAGAGTGGTGTCTAATGGGGTCACCCTCAGAGGCCCTGTTCATACATGGCATTAACATGCATTCTGAGTGATCGAAACACTTGTGGACATTTAACTTCAAGCATGAATGCTCACAAGATGCGGCACGAGTACACAGTGCTCTTATATGGCTCAGACCACTGGAGTAGCGTGTGTTATATTTAGATTCATGTAGCATTTAATGTTTATGCTGATAGTGCTGGTTACTCAATAACCATCACGAGTAGAAGCACTACTACCGTAACTAATCATTACTTTGCCTGTAATTAGCCTAAACATACATTTTCTGGTTTTCTACCACCTGTCTGTTAAAACCAAAGCGCTAATAACAAAATATTATTACAGCACTGCCTTCCAGTGCCACATTTTAAGAGGTCCATAAACCATTTAGTAATATTTCATTTTATTGATAACACTTATGGTCAACAATATGGACTTTGTTTCGGCTCTGTTATTGTGATGAAGTTATAGGAATTTTAGTTCAGTTACTGTGATAAATAAAAACTGTTTATAATAAAAACTGTCAGAAATAAATTCAAGCTTTAGTACACTTACAAATTGTAAGCTGAAAATTTGCTTAAAATCATATTTGCAAACTTTTTTTTAAAGATTCAGGTACTCCGAAAATATAAATGAATCACATTGAGGGCTTATAGACTTGGCATTAAAAGATTCCATAAGGTAATGGTAACTTTGCATGGAGTTATTTACTAAAAAAAAAAAAACTTTAGCTCAACTACACTAACTTTTTCATTTACTTCAAATAAGCTAAGCTATTCAGCCCGACATCAACATATTTGTTCTGTTTCATTTGTTGAAGTTTAAATTTTAAAACCATTTTCACCCACGCTTTCAGAGACTATCAGCTTTTGCTAGATTATTCTTCCTTTAATTCCCTTCAACCTATTTCTACTGTGGACTAAAGCTGCAGTTTCTTTTTCCATCTGTCTTTTTTTATACAAAATGAGACACCTTCAGAAAACTCAAAATGAAATAGCTTTTGGAAGTCACATTGACAAAGTTTCCAGTCTTATTTAGATCAAGGCATTCCACTTGTGCAGCTTGTACAGACTGTGAAAGCGTATTGTTATACTGCATCTCTGGAATAACATTTCATTATAACTGCTATCACTCATGAGATAAACAAGAATCAAAATACGGTATGAAAACTTTATGGGTCGTTTGTCATATTGGTACATTTGTCACATTATACTGTACAGTCGGTAAGAACAGAAGATCTATGTGGGCAAAATCTGGTATGTATAATGAACTTTCATTTGTTCTTGTATAATACCTCCACCCATTTGACAGCCCAGGTCGATCAAATTGGAAGAAAATTGTGTACGCACTGTTCCAATCAGCTCCAACTTACGATAACTGCCTGTGGAATACAAAATTGTAACTAATTGCATGTGTCTCACTAAAGCAGCAGTAACATGTGGCTTGTTAGTGCTTTGGTTCTGGGTGAATTGACTTTTGACGAAACTGACCCCCTCTCAACAGATGTCTGAGTGGTTTTTCTGGGAAGAACTGTGAAGGAGTAATTGACTACTGCAGACTGCTCAATATCAACTGCCTAAATGAGGGATTGTGTTTGAGCATAATTGGTGGATATCAGGTGGGTAATTCAATGTCTCCATCCTAATGAAATATTCTAAAGCCCATGAAATGTGACTCAGGCTTCATCTTAATAAGGATTTGGGTACAGGGTTAAGTTTTTCTTAGCTACAGCACTGTTTACTGTAGAGATGTTTTGATATTGAGACAAGAAAATGAAAAAAAAAAGAGAAACGTATAAGAAAGTTGTGTATTTTTATTGCTTTTACTTTCTTCAGTGTGAGAATCAGACAAAAATAGAAACGTCAGTGTGAACTGATTTTCATCACAATTAGTTTTTACTTTGTCCGAAATAGTACATTTACATGAACAGGGGTCATAGAGTGTATTTAATTTTTAGAAGCCTTTTCATTTTTCTGTCTATTGCTCTTTTCATAGAAAAGTCTATTTATTATTAGTAATTAAAGAAGCAAGTAGACTATTAGAGCATCACTGATAGAAAGTCCACAGACGGCAGTAATCTAATTCCAACCCATTAATCACTTTGAGTATATGGAAACTTTTTTTTCATACAGTCAGATTCCAATCTAATTTTCGTCTTTATTGCTCTGACTTCTCAAATGTCTGGACTTTATTCCACCCACAACACCTGAGACCTGAGCCCTTAATGCTCTGTAGATCCTAATTACTCTGCCATCAGTCTTTTTTCATTAAATCACTATAGTACTTTGGCTCCAAAGTGTATTCTTAGAGGCTTTGTATTTCTGCTGTTGTAGATGGGCCTAAGACATAATCAGAAGTTGCTACTTACTGCAAATTGGCTTTTCTTTGGATTAACTTTAATTTTTTTGTTTAGATTTTTGCTATGATAATTTTTACTTTGAGTTTCCATGACGCCATGACTAGTTTAGCTTCAGTGGTATGCGAAACAAACCTTCGCAATTTTAATACAATGTCTGAAAGGTACTGTACCTTTTGGATTCTTCACGTTTTTGTGTGTTACTTGTATTTGTTTTAAGCCCTCTTAGTCAATAATTTATGAAACAACTATGTATTGCTATTTCATTGTTCGAACTCTATTGGGATATGCTTTTAGGCCTGAATGTTTAATTTTGGTCTTGTCTTATCAGCTCTTCTACCACACCTATTCTGTGTCCCCTCCATGAGTTTAGGCAGGTTAATTTTTTTTTTCTTCAACACCGGCTTTCTTCCTATCATTCTTCAATAAATACAGGAATTCTGAAGTTCATAGCTTATAGTTGGCCTGACATACTCTCCAACATGAGCTGGGAAACTCTGCAGTTTGTATTTTCTCTTGGGCGACTTGGCTGCATCTCTTATTTATTTTTTCGTAAGCCTTTGTAATACTATCTACCCTTTCCTTTTACATCCCAGTTTTGTGCCGTTTTGTGTCAGCACATCTCAGAAAATTTTGAAGTTTTGATAGACAGAATTAGAAAATGTTCTAAGGGTTTGAATACTTTTTCAAGGCATTGCATTTAGATAAGTTTTGTTCTTGTACTGCTGAGATGTGGAATAAACATGACATTCTTATTAAGTTAATTTAATGTATTTTAGATGAAAACGGGAAACATGGTATTTAGCTAATCAAAACGTTTGGAAACACTTCTTCCCGGTTGTCATTATCTATCCGTAATTTTTGCTATGTGGTGATCAAAGTCTGTAGGAATCACACTTTCCTTGTCATGAAAACATAAAGTCGTGCTTCTTTAATGTGAGATACTGCTAAAAAGCTTGAGGAGACAAGCGGATTATACATTTATGTGCGTGGGCAGGTATACAGCCGCATATATAATGTTGGGCTTTCTGTAATTTCAGTGAATTGAGGCTTTTATTTGTGAGACATTTTTATTCATTTATGCTAGAGGTAAAAAAAAAAAGCCAAGACATTTTAAAATGAGATTCACCATTTTAACCCCCAGAATCCTTGAGTAGTTTTACATCTACTCTGCTGAAATACAGAGAGAGATTTGGCTTTAATACATGCAAAACAGTTCAGTATGTGTTTGCTATAGATGACTGTATACTGTACCATGCCACTAAGTATATAGATAACATACAGTATTTCTGCAGTGTGTTTGTACCCTGGGGTGGATTGGAGAGTTTTGCCAGCATGTAGGCGATGCCTGCTTGATTCAATCAGACAGCTGTTTAAATGGAGCCACATGCATTTCCACAAGTCAGCCAACATCTCCTCCTGAGTACTACTGCAAATGCCTTCCTGCTTTTACAGGTGAGATACCTTAGCCTTATCTCTTTTTGTATCATGTTTGGTTTTTCTCTGCATCTCAGTGTTTGGGAAAATGTGGTCTAACAGTATTTATGGAAACCGTTGTAGAAATGGATTGTTATGGGTCATGAAATGATACAGTGCAAGTTGTTTTTGAATTCTAAGAGTCTACATTATAGGGCATAATACAAATATTTGATTCAGGTCCAGTTTCACTATCATTTCAGCCTCGATGAAACAACAAATTACATCCTGCACTTCAGCAGTTTTTGTTTAAATAAACAAAAACAGTTCCTACATACAAAACACTCCTCATAATGCTTTTACAGAAATAACTCAATCCAGAACAAATGTCGTCTCAAGCCACTTTGCAAAAAAAAAGTAAAGAAACCGTAAAGAGAAAACAAATTAATCAAAAACACATTTTAAGCCGATCATTAGCAATTATCTGTTTTGTTTAATGTATTTTCGGATATTGAACACATTGAGCAAAATGTGCACTTTTGTCATGCCTTGACTGCATATAAAACCTTACAACTGAACAGAAGTGAAAGTAATTAACACAGATGCTAATTGGCACAGTCTGAAGCACCCAAAGCCAAGTCATAAGTGGAAGCTAAGATTCAACACAAAAGGAAGAACGGAAGAACATTTAGATGTAGAATAAAAGACAGTCTACATGAAACTTTCATACAAAAAGCCATTATGGCAATTACACCATTTTGCTTGATGTTACTATGCAAGAGCCAACTACATATAAAATGCATTAAAAGACAATGAGACTCTTGTTCTTAACTGCATACTCCATTTCATGCTTATGCTCCTCCATTGTGACATAGTGATTCATGAATGGTCTTCTGATCTCCACATGCACTGTGTTTTAATTTAAATCAGCAGGGAACTCCATAATTTGCTCAGAAATGTTACATGTACAAGCTTTGTCCTGAGTTTTCTTTTCTTCTTTTTTTATTGGCAAAAACCCTTTAAACTGGGTTCCAACAGTAACATGTAAAGATGCAGGGACCCTGAGCATAGAGCTGATGAATGTGTCTGCAGCATAAGAGCAAGCTCCCAATAATTTTTATTTTATTTTTTTTCACATTTCTTAAGTTTTTATGTCACACTTACATGTATCAGGTTGGAAAGCAATTTTAATATCAGTGAAGGTAACCTGAGTAAACATACTCATAATAAATACAAGAAAAATACTCTATGTCCTTACAGAACAACCCTGGCCTTTTGTGAAAAGGAATCTCCCTCTTGATCTTGGAGATGTCATCTAACATGTGGCATTTCAGTTGCCAGTCAGTTTTTTGACATTTTTATGGAGGAATTTTGACCCTTACTACTTTGTAGAAATGTTTTAATTTAGCCACATTGAAGGGTTTTCAAGCATTAATTGGCTAGTCTAGCTCAATGTTATGGGATGTCAACTTTATTTAGGTTCACTCCTTTAAGATTTTCTGGTAGAGAGCAAAATTCATAGTTTGATCACTGCAAGTCGTCCAGGTCCTTAAAATGCCCGGTCCGGGGCTATAGCAGCCCCGGATCATTACACTTCACAACCACTGTATTTTATCGTCTGTGTGGTGCTCTTTTTCATACCTGATGAAAAAGACCCTTTTGTCTTGTCAGTTTTCAAAAATATCTTCCCAAAGGTCTTGGAGATTCTGAAGATACTTTGGGTAAAATGTGAGACGTGTTTGTGGTTTTTGCCTATAAACTCTCCAATGGATGCTCAGTTTCTTTTTGAATCGTGAACACTTTCCTTACTATGGAAAATGAGCTCTGACATGCTCATGACAGAGCTCATGAGCAAAAAATACTTCCTATCTAGGAGGTATTTTTTGTGACCTCCTGGATGGGTCTTTGATGGATTATTGCAGCATTTGTTTGGTTAACAGTCCTTGGACTAACGTCATCTACTTGGGTGGTTAGTGACTCTTGCGGTTCACTACACACATGGATTTGTAATAATTTCCAGACTGATGAATGTCATTAACTTTGTTTCTCATCTGTTTTTTAATTCCTTTAGATTGGACCTTGGTGTGATTTTTAGATCTTTGAGCCTACATCATGCATCCAGCGATGTTCTGTTTAAGTGATTTCTTGATTTTGCTGGTAATCAGGCCTGAATCTGTGTAGTAAAATTGTAACCGGAAGGTGTGGTTAATCACATTTAGTTTGATATTTAACATGCGGAGAAATTATGTTTTCACATGGGCCAGGTTGGTTTTGAAAGCAGTTTTTTCAGTAAGTCACTAATCATTTGAAAATAGCATTTTTCCCCCCTTTGCTCAGCTTGACATTGTGTGATATTAAGGTGGCAAATAATTGTTTCACTTCACTGTAGGTATTCTTGGAAAACTGTTGGCTTGAAAATCTGTTAATACTTGATCATGTTTTATTTGTTATTTTCTTTTGGACTTTCTTTGAATATCTGAACCGTGTAGACATTAACTTGTTTAATGCGTTCATTTTATTAGTCAGTTATTTCTGTTATCTGGGTGAAATAAACCAGGCCAAATCTCCCTCGCTATACATAACAGTCATGTCTCACATTGCTTTTCAACATTGCTGCAGCCAAAGACCTTAATGCTGTAGATTACACCCATAGGGAGATGCAGCAAGAACCATTCTTCCCTTTAAGTATCAGGTCGAAGGTCAAGCTCTCTTTTTCAAGCATTTATTTTGATTAATTTTACAAACAAACAAAAAAAAAAGAATCAGTAATCTCAAGAGCTTTCCACTTGTCCAGGGGCATCTGTTCCACAACTGACCGCTGAACAGTGCACTAAGGTGGACATAAAAGTACAAAAATGCCTTACGGTGTTTGTAAATGTTTTATCTGTAATACTCTGTTGCTAAATCATTACAATTGGTGATTCACATGTACAAGATTGTAGCTGCTTGAAATCCAAGTAAAAAAAAGGGTAGAATGAAGTCATGTCCTCTAATGGAGATTTTGGTGAAAAGTAAAAGTCCGTATTTTAGGTCAAAGGTCTTTTGCAAAAAGCAAGCCAAGGATGCACTGTAAACCAAAGCTAGTTGTCTTTATGGAGATATTATTTTTTTCTTCATCTTGAGTCAAAGTTACCAGTAGCCTTGTCTGCTTGACATTTGTAAAGCCTGCAGCTGATTGGATTTTAATCCAAGTACTCTTACAAACTGACTCCTAATTATACTTCAATGCTGGTGGCACTTTAAGCGTTTAAGATGTTAGAGACAGCTATAAAGTAAAAGTAGTTATTTTTTGATCTTTTGATTTCTTTAGGAAATCTACAAGTGTATTGCATACATCACCCATATAGTCTAATTGATCTTTATTCAAATAGCACATTCAAAAACAACAGATCTGAAACAAAGTTTTCTTAAATACTTGTAGAAACAAGGAAAAATAGAGAGAACAAGACACCAGCATGGTAAGCAAAAACACCTGACAAATAAAAGTTCAATTCACGTTGTCATAAGCCAGAGAAAACAAATAGGATTTTCAGAGTTTTAAAGACTTAAAGATAAGTAGCCTGCCTAATAGCTACCAAAAACTTATTTCACAACTTGGCTTCTGAGAGAGAAAATCATTGATCTCTTTAGAGCTTCAGTCTGGTTTTCATCACAACTGAGTTCAGTGGATCAGCAAACCTTAGGAACTGAGATGAAATTTAAGATTAGGACAGATTAAAAAAGTTGGAACATATATATTTCAGAATAAACACATTTCAGAATAAAGTCTCAGTTTTCATTAAGACTCTGTTGAGTAGCATAGAAGGTCCAGTTAAGTCTTGTTCTGTCTGTTAATATAGCCTCTAAAAGGACAGAAATTGTTTATAATCACTAATAATGGAAGCTCAGGACTTTCATCCGTTTAATCTCATGTCCAAGATCTGCCATGGAAAGAGCAGATCCAAGAAGGGAACACAGATATCCTTCTCTCCTGTGACACTGTACAACTCATTCAGGGGCATCCCAGGGCATTTCCATTCCAGGAAGGCTATGTAGTCCTTCCAGCATGTTGTAGGTCTGCCCCAGGCATGTGGAGGCATCCTGATCCGAGTCCCAAACCACCACAGCCCAATTCTTTGAATCCAGGGGAGCTGCTGCTTTACTCCACCCTCCCACTTGATGAGCTCTTCTTTCTGTAAGGTTATGACTGGCCACCCAAGGGTAGAAGCTAATTTGAACACAGGCGACTGTGATGAACCAATAAATTACAAGCTTCTCTTTTTGACTCTGTTCTTTTTTCTAGCAACAGACTGAAGCTTCACCTGTGTTACTGCAGACAAAACCATAATTCATCTATCCATTCTTGTTCGGTTGTATCAGCATAACCTAAGTGTGGATTAACAAAAACAATAAAAACATAAACATCAATTAACATTTTAGTGGATGCCTGACCAAGAAGTAATGTTTTTATTTATTTATTTATTTTTTACAAGGTCATAGGGCTTCCATTATGACTTATGGAACAGTGTTACAGGTTGGTCCAAATCATTGGTTATTTTTTTCTTGGTCCATGACCAAAACATCTGAAATTTTGGCATCACTGGCATTCTATGCTTCATTAACTAAGTGGTAGCAACTCTTGCATTACTTTAGTTTCTTTCAGACAGCTGTGGCTAAACTGTAGCTTTCCACTGAAACAATATGAACGACTGAATGTAGTACAAAGTACTTTGAAGTACTGGCCACTGGCCAGTTTATCCTTTCTGTAGGCTTGCAGTCAGAAAAGTTGGTTCTGTCTGAGAGATTTTCATTGGGCCTGATGGTAACATGAAGCCAGAGTAGAAGAAGCAAGCAGGCAGCTGACTTGCATGCCAGCCTAGGAAACTCTGAATGTATGTAGAGGAAGATTTGTGATGAGACATTCGTGGCTATTTGGAAAAATCCATGTTTAGTTGTGTTTTATATTTAGAGGTTCTGTTCATTTCATTCAGTCTCTGACATGAATTGGTTTTCATCTCTCTCATTCTCCAGTTTTTTTTTTTTTTTTTGTTTGTTTTGTT